AACTGTAACTGACAAGAAATAAAATGAGCCTCCTACATATACGCTTGTATGGAACGAACAAAAGGCATAGGAAGAGGGAGCAACAAGAAAGGGTCCTCAGTCCCCAATCCTGAGAGCACTGATCCAGGAAAGGTAAATGCAAAGGAGAATGAGGACAGAAAACATGCAATATCAGGCATGGCACCAATAGACATAAAGTGATATCTCTGAGACCTCATAGATGAGTTCAAAAGTGAAGTATTTAACCAAGTAAAGCAAGATATAAGTAGAACAGTTAAAGAAATGCTAAGCACCTCACAAGAAAAAACAAATGGTGGAATGGAAGAACAGAAACAAAGGGGAGAATTGTTTGATGGAGAAAATAGAGAAAACGTAGAATACATGAAGCAGGTTCAAAGAGATTACCAGGAAACTAAAAACTCAATTAAAAGCTGGCATAACAGCTTGAAAGAAACTAAGGATAGATTATCTGAACTGGAGGACAGATCTGTAATGTGGGAGAATGAAAGGAAAAACTTCTTAAAAATAACAAGGAAACAAACAGTAACAATACAAAGGCTACAAGATGATAAGAGGATCTATAACTTAAGAATTAAGAATGTAAAGGAAGAAGCAGGAATACAAACAAATGAACTGCAAAGGCTATTCACAGAAATAATCAAGAAGAATTTCCCTAATATGGGAAAAGGTAAAGATACTCAGATGTATGAGGCATACAGGACCCAAGCAACCTACAAACCAAACAGAGCTACACCCAGGCATATAATAATCAAAATTCCAGAGATCCAATATAAGAACAGAATATTAAAACCTGTCAGAGACAAGAAACAAGTCACTTACAAGGGAACACCCATCAGAATTACAGCAGACTTCTCAGCACAAACCATCAAATCACGAAGAGTGTGGGGGGAAATAATTCAAGTTTTGAAAGACAATAACCTCCAGCCATGACTGATATATTCTACACAACTCTCCCTAGAAATTAATGGAGAAACAAGGTGCTTCCAGGATAAAGAGGAACTAGGGGAATTTGCAACCACCAATTCAACTCACAGAGAATATTGCAGGACAATCTAAAAGAAAAAAATACCAAGATTCCAGAAACAGTGGCAGAGATGCCACAATGAATGGAGCAGAAAGTGAAATGAAGATAATCTGACAACTAATGACAGAAATAGCTCAACAGAAATGAGGCAGAGAAGGCTGGATGGTATGAACAGCTATTTTGGAGAAAACAAGTCATCGTAATAGGTAGTGCTAATTTAATATCTTGTTTTGAAGTCCCATCAAGCTTTTGTTCTTCTGTGTCTATGTCTTAACATGTTGTATCTTACTGGATTTTATTGTATGTGATAATATAAACAAAAACTTTTATAGACAAGGAGATAATACAGAAACCATTGTTCATTTTGTTAGTTGGTTCTAAATACTCTGTAATATTGTCATTCTCGAGTGGTTTTACATTGTCTTGATTTGTTTGATGCTACAGTATTCGAAGTTATATGCAAAGATTTCAAGGAAAGAGACACTATAGTAACTACTTTTATATCGGGATATCTTGTGGTGAAACGCTATTTTGCTTAAATGGTTATGTTCCGACCTGTGCTTTTTGTTGTTCTGTCCTCTTTTATCTCAATCTCCTTTTTATTTATTTTTTAATTTTTAATTAAGGGGAAATCAATAAAAAATAGCAGGATATATTATAGTAACCCACTTTGATTTCCTATTAACTTGATTTGAAACCCTGTATTTCTCTCATCATCTTGTTTTGACTGATTTTCCTCTATTCTGTTATGCTTGGTAGTACCAAGTTTAAGAGTATAGACAACAACTATGAACACAGTGGATTCACTATGATGCCCATTCTGCTTTGACTATTATCTTGAAGTCCTGTAAGGTCTCCAATGTTTTGGTTTTATTGGTTTTTTCTTTACTGTTTTGTTCAATTTTATTATAACTGATGATATAGGCAATTCTTTTTAAGATAGCAAGAGGCATTATAGTAACCACTGTTGATCACCTTGTATTTTGTTTTTACATTATGTACTACGTCCATCCTTTTGATTTGACTGACTCTGTTTTGTTATGTCACATTTGGTTTTATTCTCTTCAAAAAAAAGTAATAAGAACTGTGGGAGTAATAAAACCCAAAATGTGTAATTGTCATTGTAAAAAAGAGAGGAAAAGAAAGTGCTCTATATAACTAACTGCATGTATATTTAAGCGTATAAGGTAGATAACCATATTACTGAGTTTTTGTTGGATCATTGAACAGAACTGTTTGCAGCCTCACTGTTTGAAAGTCCAATTTATATGGTTTAACTTTGTAACTTGAACAACTATTTCTAAGATGACAATATGTAATCTATTAACTAGTTTTTTCTTACTGTTTATTTTTTTTGAAATTCTGTATTACTTGTACCCTTTTTCTGTTTTCTTTTTTCTTTTTCTTTTTCTCCTTAAATAAAATTTTTAAAAAACCACCACAAAACCATAGTGACCTTGCTATATCCTCTCCAATCCCTCTATGGGCACAGCACTGTAAGAGCAAATACTGTCTGCTATTTCGCATTGAGCCAAAACTGGAGCACTGTTCTCTGACAGAAGGGAAATGCTAAGGTCCCTTGTGCAAATCTTAGCTCCTCAGAGGAAAAAGGAAACTGAAAAGAGGCATTAAACATCAACTGATGAGGTCTAACCCATAAGTAATCAGAGTCCTCAGAAGAGCTGCAAAACGGAGTGCCTGGGGGAGGACAATGGAGAGGATGAAACAAGATACAGGAGAAAATAACAGAGCAAAATGAGTTCAGTGCACCCACACCAAACATCTTTGAGAAAGACGCTATCACTAAGATTAAAGAATATGCTGGGTGCAGTGGTGCATGCCTGTAACACCAGTGTCTGGGAGGTGGAGGCAAGAGGACCATAATTTCAAATCAAGCCTTTGAAACTTAACACCTTACCAAGATCCTGTCTCAAAATGAGAAACAATAAGGGGTCTGGGGAAAGGCTCAGTGTGAAGTTCCTGGCTCAATCCCCCAAAGGATGAAACAGACTTAAAAAATACCAGTGATAGTTATAATGGTTAGTATGATAATGTGTAAGAATCTTAAGGAGTGACAAACCATTGATTGAATGCTATTCTGGCAGGGTTTATAAACACCACTTTGTAATTAATGGGTGAGTACCAAAATGAAAATTATCCAATAATACATTTATATTCTAAAGCAAACCTAGAATCACCACAACAACTAGTAAGAATTTTTAAAATTTTGTTCATTTATTTATTCAAGAAACAATTACAGTAAACTTTCTATGTACTATGTACTATACAATGAAATGAAGAGGAAAAAATAAAAAAAGGACAGGATCCCAGCTCTTTCAAGTGTGCACAATCACGAAAAAAGTCCCATCTGGAAATAAAGATTTATGACTAGAAGGGACCTCATAGCTCCCTTATGTGACAGATAAGGACACAGACTCCTCACTAACATAGCCAACGAGACATCTGAGTCTGTAAACAGATTTACTGCTGTGTGTGTTCTCTGCACTTTTTCTCATGACAAAGAAGAGCAGAGCCAGGCATGGTACACACCTGTAATCCTGGCATTCTGAGGAACTGAGGCAGAAGGATCAAAAGTTTGAGCCTAGCCTGGGCAATTTAGCAACTTAGCAAAACTTTATCTCAAAGGTAAAAAACAGAAAAAGAGCTGAGGATCTTGCTTAATGAAAAGGCCCCGGGTTCAATTTCCAATACTGTTTTTACAAAAAGGTGATGAATGGTTGCTTCCATGTGAGTAGACTAAAAACATAAAACAATACACAATAATTATAAAATTAGAACAGAAATACCTAATGAATATGGACAATGAAAAAACAGCTATTTAATGATCACTTAAATATTTCACAATTTAGGAACACAAGTCTAATAAAGTCCTAATTAGTAAACTTATCAAAAACTAAAATAAAGTAATATAATAGTAAGACTTCTAAGCCATAGTTATGGTCTTGCCTGTTTTCTGATCTATAAAATGGGTATACTAAAAGTATTTATTTCACAGAATTGTGAAAATAAAATGAATTAATACTTGAAAACACTTGGTAAACTTATCGAGTACACCTTCAGTAAATGTTAGATATTCTTATGTATAATCACTTCTTCTTAATTATATGGATAACGCACATTAAGACAAAAAACTATTTCACTAAGGGATAGCCTATTATTACAATGGATTTTTTTTTTTGGCAACTAATAAAATCCATCACTAAATTACATAGTTGAGGAAAACGTTAAAGGCATAAGACTTCATAATATGGTCCCCCTAACACTTGGGAGGCTGAGGCAGGAGGATCATGCAAGTTTGATGCCAGCCCAGGCTACAAAGTGAGTTCAAGGCCAGCCTGATCTGCCTAGTGAGACCCTGTCCCAAAAAAAGACCAAAAAATAATAATAAGAGAATATATATATATATATATACACACACACACATACATATATACATACATATAGTCCTTTTCTTTATAAAGAATGTCTTATAATTGCAAGAATTTTATTCAATTAACTAAAATAATCATACTCCATAGTAATTTCAATTAGTTCAGTAACTCAAAAATTAAAAATCCTAAATATCATTTTGAGAATGTTCAGTCAAGTGTAATGGTGCATGGAGCCTGAGGCAAGAGGATTGAAAGTTCAAATCCCACCTGATCAACTTAGTAAGACTTATCCCAAATTAATTTTAAAAGGGCTGTGGATGTAACTCAGTGGCAGAACACCTGAGTTGGATCCCCAGGACCATCAGAGAGGAGAAAAGAAAGACCAAAAATGACTTTTAGGTTAAAAAAAAAAAAAGCAGACTTTCTCATCTTAAATAAAATACCCTTAAACTAATTAACACCTGTGAAATAACCATGTGTTGTATACATTAATAAAACTCATATTGAAATGAATCATCCCCCAATATCAATAACAAAATAAGTAACTATTTGTATCCACTTACTGCAATCTCTCTACAAGCTGACATGGATATTCCTGTGCCTTCAATTTGCTTCAATGCATATTCCTTTTCATCTTTTCTGCAAATGAACAAAAAACAATTTACCTTTCCATATATTACTTTCAATTCAACATTACAAATGGGAATATTATGGGAATATATGGGGATGCACTATTCTCAATGATACATAAACACTATGCCATGCATTGCTTAATATTTCTGAAATATCCTGAAATATTTGTTATACAAATATGAAATATCAAAAGAAATTCATGTCACTATAAAAACACAAGACAGAGCCAAAACACAAAATTCAAAATTGAACAGAGTAAGATACTAAACATAGCTCTAGTTTTAATGAGTAAACAAGTATAAATAAAAGCTGAAACATATTGCAAGATTAATTCCAATTCTGCCTTAATTATCCTAAGTCTATGAAAGCATCCTGCTATAAACACTCACTACTGAAACATATAAACTCTTTTAGTCACTTAAAGTAATATAATATAAGAAGCACTCACAGGAAGGAGAACCCACTGGAAAATACTAATTCTCACCTAGGTAAGAAATACTCCAAAGCTCCATGACTCTCGCTAAAATCAAGTATTACAAAACTTAATCAACAACATCTCATTCTCAGGAAATCCTTGGAGAAATCCAGTAGTTACAGCAGATTTTTGCAAATGGAAACAAATTAGAGAAATTGCTACAGTATCAGAGTGTTTAACTAAGAGAAGACTGGTAGTTTGATAGTATCAAGTGAGAGGCTAGTAAAGCACATCAAGTATTCTTAGGGCACTGACAGAACCAGCCACATGAAGGATCTAGATGAAACATTGTAACTGTGAGCCATATTGAGGGCTATTCTGATAAGAGGGGCATAATCCATGTCCTCTGGATTGTGCCTTAAAATTAACTGTACAGTACCAAAGACTCAGCAAACCGTCCCCATGCCATAGTGGCTCTGCTACATGACTGAATGTGCCACATCTGTCCTATCTAGCTATATCTCATTTCCCCCATTCTGTATCTAGCAGATAAAGCTGCTTAAGAGGTTATCCATAGTGGGTCTTTTTCTACATCTTTTGAAGATTTTTCACAATCATCTGTTATGGTTGAATAAACAATTTAATGGTTAATGTCTCCCATAATGTTTGAAATTTGTATCTATTTTTTTCCAAATGTATGGCATTCAGTAAATAACTAAGATTTTATTTTTTTCTTGGTGATGGTGGTACCGGGCTTTTGTACTGAGGTACACGTGCAGCCAGCCCCTTCTAAAATGAGACAGAGTCTTCTCACTAAGCTGCTAATTTGCCCAGGTGAGGCTTATACTTGTGACCGCCTGTTTCAGCCTCCCAGAATGCTGGGATTAGAAATGTGCACCACTGTACATGGCTAGCATTTTGTTTGGTTGGTAGGTTGGCTGGTTGGTTGTTTTGCATCAGGGTCTCACTCCGTAGTTCAAAATGGCCTTGAACTTGCTATGTAGGCCAGTATACATAATCTTGCCACCTCAACCAATCAAGTGCTAGGATTACTGGCATATACCATCAGGGGGCAGGGTAAGCAAGATACAGCAAAAGGATGAACTAATATTAAAATAACTGTGAATATCATCAGAAACATGAAAAATTTTTACCACATATTCTAAGAAAATACATAAATTATATGAAAATAAATATTTCCACCTATACATATATTGAATACAAAAACTAAAAACAGATATTAAAATTCAGAAGTCACTGGTCATGATGGTGCACATCTTTAGTTTCAGCTACCTGGAAGGTAGAGGCAAGAGGATTTCAAGTTTGAGCTCAGCCTGGGCAACTTAGCACAATCGTGTCTCAAGATAAAAAATAAAATAAAAGGCCTGGGACTACATCTCAGTGCTCCTTAGGTTCAATCTCTAATACTGGGGGGAAAAGATTCAAGAAGTCATGTTAACTAACTTCAGTCACAATAAAACGCCGTCAGTTAGCGGGGCCCAGCTGCCACTGTAATACCTGTAACATCGCCACTTAGGAGGCTAAGGCAGCCAGAAGGACAGTAGGCGCTACACAGCAAGTTCAAGCCCAGCCAGACTACAGAGAGCTTCGAAATTAGAAAGAAGAAGCAACTAAAACAATCTGATACTCTGGCAGTAATGACTGAAATAATCTTTATAATATTCAAAGCGATACATTAGGAACATTTTAACAGCAGATTAGGGAAATCTTAGAAGTCATTAATTTTTTCCCTGTTTCTCCATCCTGTTTTCTGTTTTTTCAGACACAAACGCCACTGGAATTGGACATGGTAGCACGCAGCTGCAACCCCACTATTTGGGAGGCTGAGGGAGAAGGATTGCTGTGAATTCGAGGTGAGCCTAAACTGGATAGTGAAACCCTGCCTCCAAAAGACAAAAAAAAACAAAATAAATAAATAAGCCACTGATAAGCACAGAATGAATAATGAAACTCAATGTCCTCTTTACCTTAAAGGTGAGTATAGCTAGTGAGCATGCATGTTCCTGAGACGACCTGAGACACACACAGATATACACACACATAGTATAATATATACACATATACACAGATATTGTACATAATCTTGCACTATATATATGAAATTAACTACTAGATATCTATTATCAAATTATTGAAATTTAATAAATCCTTGAAATTATAAAAATTTTCACATGCAATCATGATTTTAACAGAAAAATTTCTATTCCCAGTTCTTCTACATGAAATGTTCCAGAAGCTCATGTAATTGCATAGTTTTATTTTTAATACTGTAAAGAATATGACACAATCTGGATAGGTTATCATTGCTATGGAAACTATAAGATTTTTTTTTTGCAGTAAGTTAAAAAGTGCAAAATTAACACATCACATTAACGGGTTTTGAACTTCACATCCAGGCTGTAAAAGGAATTTGAAAATTTAAACAGAAGAGACTGAGGCATGAAGCATAGGTCTCTTATTCTGAATTATATGGGTAGGAATAAGAAACAAACCCAATAATTATTTCACTTAATATGTTTAAATATAACTTCCATTAAATTAATAAAAGACTTATAAAACTACATCTTTTAGATTTGCAGCTTTTAAATTCAGAATGAAAGGAAGTAGATACACATCACCTTTCTCTTTTTGTACACCACCAGACAGTAAATGGTAAACTTCATCTTATGAAGAAATGGCAAGGCCCAGAGGTCACAATGGGACCCTGGACCCCATGCTACATTACTGCCGACCTGGGGTCGGATGCAAGTATTTTACTGTGAAGAGTAATGGTGTCTTTTACCACAGTGACCACAACTGTTTCATTAACAGGACACACAGGGAAAGGAAGCTCCTCTCTCATTCCAGCAGAGTGTTCCTCTCCGGGAGTTCCTCCAAGGCACAGAGGCAATTCACATCCCATCGCTTAACTGCTTCAGGTATATGTAATATTAAGTTCCCTGAAACTAAGATGTTTTCCTTTGACACGACAGTGTTGAAAAGCAGTGAACTGGCCTGCCCTGCTCTGACAGCCTGGCTTTTTGAGGCAATCCTAGTTCTTACATAAAGCTCTTCTTTTTCAATTATTTTCATTTTTGAATAACATGAAGACAAAGCAATCCCAGTTTCAAATTTCAAACTGTTTTCTATATTTGAATGTGTATTAGATAGTGTAAATAACACAACTGCATTTGGAAAATAAATGAGTTTACAAAGTAAATTCAGGGGCCAGGGATTTAACTCAGTGGCATAAGCGCCTGCCTTGTAAGCGCATGGTCGTGAGTTTGATCCCCGGTAACAAAAAAAGAAAGAAAAATTTACTAAGTAAATTCAGGTAATTAAAATATATATATTTGTAATAAAAATATGGTTATGTGATATGTATAATTTTTAAATATAAAATATAACTATGTCCATAATTATATCAACATCAAGCAAACTTTACACTTAGTTGTCACAACAAAAAACAACTGTTCGATGGAACACTATGCAACAACAAAAATAGAAAAATAAATTAGGCAGCAATTAGGTTTTTTATCTAAGACATTATGTTCTAAAAATTTCTTGATGTAAGCAATTCTATAGACAGCAGGAAAAAAAAGAAGCAGCAAGCATTTATGTGAAGAGTAGAAATCATTGCCTTATAATGAAAGTTTAATCCCAGGTAGGAAATCAGGTTCAGTGATAAAAATTAAATAGAATTCAGAGAAGACTTTCCCAAGTACAAAGAAGCAAGTCTAGCAGGAACTGTTCTGCATAAAATTACTGAAAACTGATTTAATGAAAAAGATGTTTAGTCTTCCTCGTTTCAATGATGTCTAAACTTAGTGATCAGTCCCTAGTGAAGTGTAGCAAGATAAAGCCGCTTTCAGTAGCCTATTTATACAGGTGTAGTTAGGGGTTAGCCAAAACTTCAAGTATCATGGTCACATTTAGACCACATTGAGGATTTTTGCTATCACGGCTACTACCCATTATCCAGCCAAGGGTCTGAGCCATGTTTAATCTCAAGAACCTACAGGAGACAACAACTGTAGAAGAGTAAGAAAAGATGAAGCCAGGTGTGAAGATACACACACACCTGTGATCCCACCACACAGGGAGGAGAGGGAAGGATTGCAAATTTGAGCCCAGCCCAGGCAATTTAGTTGACTTGGTAAGACCTTGTCTCAAAATAAAACTAAAAAAGGAATAGGAATGTAGCTCAGTGTGAAGGGCCCTAGGTTTACTCCTCAGTATTGAAAAGAAAAAACAAAAAGGAACAAAAGATAAGAATACGGAATTCAAGCTCAAGTGGAAAATATTTTTAACTATTCAAACAAAAAGGATCAAGATTCTTTTTTGATTCTAATGAAAGCAGCAGAGCCTTATACCAACTAACTACCGAGTTATTTTAAACCCCCCCTACTTAGTTATCTTACACCAACTAACTACTGAGTTCATATTAGTATTCCAACATTATGACAAAACTCAGGGATTAGGGACTGACTACACCAGCTACCAGTTTCATAACCTATCTGGGAAGAAATTCATTTTAAGTGGGAAATATTTATAAATAAGTAACTCTAATACGTTCCCTACCTTTAAGAAA